CTTGCAAAGTCTCCCAGCGTCTCACACACCAATGATGCTTTAAGGCAACCCGTAATCTATGGTCGAACTGCGATTGCCACTTGCAATAATAACTGCAACAGGCAAAAGACAAATGCACACTTGGCAATGGCCTAGACGATGGGAAGACGGGCAAGGAAATAGAAATGCAAGCACGACAGTCAAGTTCGATGGCACCCAATACACAGGTGCGCATCCGAGCAATTATGACGTGTATCCCCGCAGCTGACACTCTTCTACCTGTGCACCCAGAGAACGTTTACATCCTCACCCGATTTTTCCAGAACTTTCCGCCTACGTGTACCTACCCGTACACCTAGAGAATACCTACTTCCTGGACCGATATTCCCCAGAACTCTACAGCTTTTTCGACGTCAAAACCCAATACAGATCTCCAATGCGTGGCCAAGACCTTGCGATTTCTGACATTTCCATCGCCTGCTACGCCTTCTCCACGACTCCTGCTCCTCAAGCTGGGAAATGCGCAATAGACACTAAATTCAAGAAGAAGAAAACATGGGAGATAATGGGAATAACGTGACGGTGGTTCTCGTGGTAGGGATATTGAGGGAGGCTCTGGAAAAGGGGACAAAAAAGTGTACAAGAAGAGTAACACGAGGAAAAAAGAAATGAAAGGAAGGAAATAATAAGAAATGGAGGAAGGATATGAGGATGAGAAATGAAAAGAACTTGCTGAGATGAAAGAAATCCATGAACAAGAAAAATAAAAAGCAAAAATATCTGAAACTGAATGCAAATGAAAGCTGTGATATGGAGGAGTTGAATGAGAAAAAGAAAACAAAAAACGCGCATGGACATCCAAAGAAAAACAAAAACAAAGAGACATATACGAAAAAAGAAATAAGAAAAGGACACGCGAAACTAAAAATAACCCAATAAAATGAAACTAAGAAGGAAAGAACAGAAAAACAACAAAAAACAACACAACAAATGAAATACATAATTAAAAGAGAAGTAAGGAAGAAGGGGAGAGTAAGGACGGGGGACCTGGCACCTGCTCAGAGATCACCATCGATGTCCTCAACCATCTTGGCACTTTATAACATGCAGCAAAGGCCAACAACGTATATGTAGACGAGTGTCACATGGCCTAGTTGTAGAGGAAACTTGGCTAGACCAACTCGTGACTTAAAAAATAAAAGTAATTTCTTTTCTTTTTGGGTACACGGAAGTGTCAGTGTTTCAGAGGGAATGGTGAGAGAGAGAGAGAGAGAGAGAAAGAGAGAGAGAGAGAGAGAGAGAGAGAGAGAGAGAGAGAGAGAGAGAGAGAGAGAGAGAGAGAGAGAGAGAGAGGAGAGAGAGAGAGAGAGTTGGAGGGAGAGGGAGACAGGGGAGAGAGAGAGAGAGAGAGAGAGAGAGAGAGAGAGAGAGAGAGAGAGAGAGAGAGAGGAGAGAGAAGAGGAGAGAGGAGAGAGAGAGAGAGAGAGAGAGAGAGGAGAGAGAGAAGAGAGAGAGAAGAGAGAGAGAGAGAGAGAGAGAGGAGAGAGAGGAGAGAGAGAAGAGAGAGAGAAGAGAGAGAGAGAGAGAGAGAGAGGAAGAGAGAGGTGAAGAGGGAGAGGAAGAGAGAGGGAGAGAGAGAGGAGAGAGGAAGGAGAGAGAGAGAGAGAGAGAAGAGAGAGAGAGAGAGAGAGGAGAGAGAGAGAGAGAGAGAGAAAATAAAACTTAGTCACACACAAAAACAAACTACACATCACTCCACACACACCGTACGTTGCCTCGTCTACACCGGCATCAGTTGACAGAGTACCATGAAACTTCTCCTGCTTTATCCAGATTCTCCGCGGATTCAGACACCTCTCGTGAATCTCTAAATACCAAAGAATGTGGAACACCGGTCTTCAGAGTGAGCAGCCTCTCTTAGAAGTCCCTACACCACACATTTTCTCTTTCCTCTCTCCTCGCAAACATTCACCTCATACTTGCTCTGGCTGATGCAAGTCTAGGTAACTTTCCGCAGCTTGGCCAGCCGCCAACTTGGAGCTCTATTCGGTAATACAATTTAGGGTTTATTCCGCAAGAAATATGCATTGATAGGTTCTCACTCCTTTCTGATGTACAGCAGTATACGTATCATTTATTTATTATCTCTGTATTTATAATCTCTACTCTGTTCGAAATATGCCTTTGATATGCTCTCACTCTTTCTAAGGTACAACAGTATAGGAATCGTTTATTTATCTTTCTCTGTTACCATGTATTTCTACATTCTACTCTGTTCGCCTCTATAACGGACAACTTATATAGAGCCGATATGAGGAAAACATCAATAGTTATTACAAGCACTTACAAAATTACAAAAATCTCCCATGCTCCCGTCATTGGTTCACATCTAAGTATAGGAAATGTAGAAAAACTTCAGGAATGACTGAAGAAAACCAGAGATACGGACTTCACCCTTCATCACCAAGCACAAATAGTGTAAAATATCCATCTAGTTAAGTGAATGCGGGAACACACTGTTTCCTCCTGTGGATCGTCAGGCTCTACCTTGAATCCACCTCGATCACGATGGGCCAAAGCAGCTCTATTACTCATTACTGAACCAAGGATTTTTACTCGAATCTCCCCCTTCAGAACATTCAGTTATATTTAAAGTCGTTATTTTGTATCTCTTTTCCGTTAACGTTTTTCACGAAAGGCTACTTCACTTTCCCGATATTCGAGACCAGGCTGTTTTCTTTATTCTGAATCGACCTCAATAACATTTCCTTTTTATGACACGGGCCAGATATTCCGATGACATCTTATTTATTCAATCTCTCTCTCTCTCCCTCTCTCTCTCTCTCTCTCTCTCTCTCTCTCTCTCTCTCTCTATCTATCTATCTATATATATATTCTCTTTTCCCTCTCATTTTCCTTTCTATTTTCTCTCTTCTCTTCCCTTCTTTTCTCCTCCCCAACAATGAGCATCAGTAATATTTTACAACGTTCTGTTGCTTAGCATAGATGCAACCCTTCCAGATCAATAACAAATTGACACATCTTTGTTAAATGCCTCTCTTTGGCTCCATTTTATATATCAAATAAAACCCATTGTGTTTGGCAATTCTACTTTCAATCATGACTTCTGTAAAATAATAATAATAATAATAATTATCAATAAGGGTCAATTTGGCCTTTTTTCTTTCAACAACACAATTAAGCATAAGTAAGCAGTAAAACCTCAAGCACAAATATCTTTCAAAATATATCAACTACGATGACATCCTGCGCTCCCAAAATTCCAAATTCATGGCATTCTTAGTTGTAACTACGTAACAGAACATTCCATCAGTGTTATAACCTTCGAAATATTGATCCTCTTGGTGACCTATCGTCTAACATTTGGAATGATCCTTTGTTTGGCTATTTCTCTTATACTGTATCACTGGCTACTCAGAAAAAAAAAAAAAAAAAAATTGAATGTTATTATCATTGAAACCCCAAATATTCACAGTATGAGAAATATTTTGCGCTGGTTTCCCGTTCCAAGACTGCACACCTGAATTTTCTCAGGATTCAGACCACTCTTAATTACAAACAACCCAATGCCTCGTGCAAATTAGTTTTTTAAGAACTACATAAATGCTCCGGCATCACGAGCGCACTACATACGCATTCCCTAGTGAAGATATTAGCGCTGTGTCTACTCTTCGTGTTGCCATGACAACCTGTATTCCCGCGTATTGTGATCTGGTGTGTGTGTCTCCTTCTGATCCTGGTATTTTCCTTCTGAACTTTACATTCGCGTTGCTTGGAAGGTCACAAGGAACGGTGCAACGTACGATGCTTCATGTTTTAAACATACATAATTCCAGATGAAAATGTATGCATGTGACATTGGTCTAGTACGCGTTTCACATCGTACCATCTACTATGAGACTGCATCTATGCTTTACAGATATTAAAAGAACTTCTATAATCAATGCCGTCTACGGTGCAGACTTTATTTGACCTCAGGCAGTAAGTTGTACCCTATAATCATTTTTTTTTTTTTTTTTTTTTACCCAGAGCCATAATCTTCAGCAGGTTCCAAGTCCTTTTGCCTTGAGGAGCCAACGGAGGTGTCGGCCCTCTATTCCCTCGGTTCATCTGCTTCCAGACACGTATCAGCATGGAATTCCGTGTGCAACTTATATAATATAATCGTGCTATTGATCTTGGGCACTAGTTTAAATTACTTCATTGAATGATCACTTTCTCGTAACGGATCCGAAAAGATACGCATGCTGCTCTCAAAAGGCTTGTCATTTGTGATTTCAGCATTAAACATAATATTCACTCTCTCAACATGCTGTCTATAGCATTCATATCGACGGGATGTAAATACCCCTAACATTAACGGCATTTAGTGTGCTCTCATCAAAACCCACTTGCCTTGACGCGTGTTTGGTTCGTTTCCCTTGCAATTCTGCACTGTCGGATCAATAAGCGAAGTCACTGAATATTTTTGACTGCGACTCTTACCAAACACTATAATCATCAGGTCTGTAAGAGTTTGACATAAAATATCTGTTATTATATGTTGCACATAAAACAAACCATGATCTTTTTGCAGAAAAATAAAATAATAAACAAACTCAGGTAACGTAATGACGTAGGCCACACCCACGAGCTGTGATTGGTCGGCCTTGGAGGTTGGTTTCTGACGTCACAGTCGCGCCACGATGCCGGTGTTAGCTTCAGGCAAAACTCTTACATCAGAATAATAAGGCATAAGAATATTTCGCTACGTAATATGCGCGATGCTTCCGAACTTATTATTTGGAACTGCTCTCTAACAAGTAAAATCACTTACTCACATTTGAATATATTACATCACTTGAGAGCAGCATCGATCTGGCTCCCTTACCCAGCTGATTCTACGGCCAACTCATAAAATCTTTCTTTTCGCTAATGAAACGCCACAAATACAAAACTATTCTACTCCCGAATACATTCAACATGCAAAACATAACTAGCACTATTAAAATGACACTTAC